ATCTCCCCAAAACCCCAAAACCCCAAAACCCCACTTCTAAAGAGAGAAATTGAATTTTTCTAAATCTTTAAAATCCTCTTAAGTTTTATGAAATTTACTTGAAAATAAACTTTTTGTCATTGGCTTTTCTGTTAGACACAGAAATCTTAGCAGGGATTTCATTCATACTCTTTTGGTATCTGCTAAGGACAGATTTTAGTACAGGGATCCCGTAGGTTGAAGACTTGCTAGATGCCTACAGGTATTAGAAGACTGCTTACAGATTTGCAAGGAGATTCTTCTTCTAGTTGCTGAGATTTAGCAAGTAACCCAATTCCTTTAGCTCTAGATGGAGCTGCCTAAAAGTTAGGAAAAATCTCACTTTGATATCTCTTTTTGTGCTTTGTGATTGGATCAGCTTCCGATTCTCTTTGTGAATTCTGGTAATTTCAAAAGAAAGCATCTTGTTTTCATTCTGGAGTTGAGAAAGCTCTATGCTAATGGACCGAGATCTTGTGAGTTTATTCTAAAGATATGAAGATAAGTACTAAGAGCTGTGTCTTGTTGTTCCCTAACTTGTTTTATTTGGGTATAAAGATCTTTGAAGCTACTTTGCACTCTATTCATAGACTTCAGATGCATCTCTTTTATTTTATTTTGTGTTGTCAATCTCTAAAGATAAAAGAAATCATACTTGGTTTTTGAGTGATTTTATTACATAATATTTCAAAGCTATTTCTAAGCTCTCTTTGGTTGACTTCAAGCTTCACAATCCTTATTAATTGACTCTTCTGTTCGTTCTTGGCTTTTGTGATATTAAATGTAATCATGCTTTTCATTCTATTGATAATATCAATAATTACTTTTCCAGAGATTGTTTTAAATCTGTAATTCTACTCAGTTCTTTCTCTACTTTTAGATATAATTCATCAAATTTCTCATCCTCCAAAGCTCTCTTTTCGTCTTGACTCTTTTCCTCTTCAATTTTATCTAACGGAGCCTCTGATGTTGTGATTTCTGGAACTGGAATCCTGCTAGATGCTTCTAGAAAAGATTTCTGAAGATCGAAAAGATCAAGAGATATCATCTCTATAGTATTTGAATTTCCTAGAGATTTCATTCGATTATTACCTTTAACAGCATTTGTGATATCGCTCAACAACTTTTGAATTTTATTTAGGAGATTTTATCATTTCTCTAGAAACTTTATCAATTTTATTAATTTCATTAACAGCAGTGTTGTTCTGAAGATACTTAGTTTCTTTAATCCTACAGTCCAGTCCTCCTTCATTTTCCATTATACCCTTCATATTCGATCTTTTAGCTCCTTCAATATTAACTGTAACTCTCTTCAAACTTTCATTTCCTCCTATACCCACTTCTTTCCTCCCTCTCTCATATCCATCACTCTCTTCACTATCCTCACTCTCACTTCCAAACATCGCTCAGTTATTTTCAGTGAGTCTGTTCGAGAGAGGTCTGGACTTGGGAAAGAAGGGTTTTGGAAAGAGAGTCAGAGAGGGATTTTAGTTTTTCATCGAAGGAGGTAGTGTGAGCTTTGAGAGATTTTTGAGTAGAAATTTTTGTTTTGGCAATTTTGGACTCAAGAGAGAGAACTTGGGCTTTGAGGTTATCGATAGTATTTGATACAGGTCGTAGATCCTAGAATTCTTAATGAAATTTACAGATTGAGTTAAAGATGGGTGGGTCTGAAATCAGTCTGTAACCTTTTGATAAAGCTCTCCTAACAGTGCTTGTCTAAAATTTGGTATGATTTTTCATTATTTTACAAGAAAAATTACCTCAAATCTACCATTCTGAGATTCATGATGTTTAGAGTTGGCAATTCATCTATTTTAGTAAAATTAATAGGTACCAATAGCTTTGCCGTGTTGTTCAATTAATTTTTGATGCTTTTCAATATTATTCTCAATAAATTCCAATCTCCTTTTAATTTTTTTAGTTTTGACTGGAAAAAGTAAGGCTTTTGCAATATGAAAGTTTTGTCTATAGCAATTCATCATTAATGATTTCACCAACACTAATCTACCATGATATCATTATCTCAAATACCTAATTGCAATCGAACTTAAACTCTCTAATACCTACCCTTCCCTCCTCTCAAGATCTCTTTGGCTTTCACAACTTAATCCCCCTTTCATTTTTCTTTCACTCTCCATCTTTTTCTCCATTATTGATTGCTTATTTTTATATTTTCTGGGGTTTTGGGGTTTTGGGGTTTTGGGGG